TAATGATAATGTTTAAAGTTAAAATTTTATTATAATGTACAGTAAATAAATATCATCAATTATAAAATTAAGTACAAAGAAAATTTTGCTTTAATAATTAAGAAATCAAATATTTCTGCATTTCATTGCTTATATAAAGATTAACTTTTGATTATAATAATTCTATGAAGTAGTAAACTTAATTTAATGAAAGAATCAATTTACTGTCAACATTAGTTCATTTAACTCTTTAAAAACCCAGAGCTTGTATCAGTCCACCTAAAAGTTTAGTATTATTAATTTATTACATGAATATTTTTTAAGTATCAGTTTAGAAGATAAACAAAAAGCACCAAGTGTGATGATTGATTAAGCAAACACTGCATTGGAAACTGAGATAATAATATAATCTTTTTTGTTATGATATGGAGAAATTTATTTTCATCATTTTGTTAGACAAGAACTATTTTGTAGAAGGCTGAAGAATGATAAACCAGAACAAATGAATATTGCCAACAGAGGACAAGAAAATATAATATATATATAATATAATATTCATATGTTCATATTATATAACCTTAGTGCTTGCCATGATATAAACATAGGTTTATATAGAGATGACAGCCTTATGGTGGTGAAAAATTCTACAAAAATCAAAATTGACTAAATTAGGAAATTATTACATAGGAAATTCAAAAGTCTAAATCTGAAAGTTATAATAAACACAAATTTTTTAAAAAAAGTAGATTTCATCGATGTAACACTAGACTTAGTCAATAATATATACCAACTGTACATGAAAACCAATGCAAATCCATTATATATCCACCCAAATTCAAATCACCCTCCATCTATAATCAAACACCTACTCTTCTTCATAGAATATAGAATCAGTAATAACTCTTCCAGTTAAGATGAATTTTATAAACATAGAAAATTTTACAACACTGTTTTAAAAAATAGTGGCTATAAGTGTCCTAATATTAAATATAGAAAACATAACAGTGTTAGTGAGAAAAAATAGAACAGAAAAATCATTTGGTACACTCCTCCATTTAACTAAATGGTTAGTACTAAGCTAGAACAGAAATTTCTCAATTTAACTGATAAACATTTCCCTAGTAATAATCCTCTTAGTAAGATTTTTAATAAAAATACACTTAAATTAAGCTAGAGCTGTACAGATAACCTTGAAAAAAATTATTAAAAAACACAATAATAAAATTTTAAATCAATACTTAAACCTAAGTAACAATAGCCATCTCAAAGCAATAAACAATAATGATACCAACTTCTGTAATTGTAGAAATCCTAACAACTGTCCACTACAAAATAGGTGTCTAACTGATTCAGTTGCTTACCTATGTACTATTTCATCTAACTGATAATAAAATTTATATAGGTAGTACCAAAAATTCTTTTAAAACTTAGTGGTATCAACATACATCTTCTTTCAACAACAATGCATATCATAACAGAATGTCCCTTTCTAAATATGTTTGGCACTTAACAGAAGTTAACAAAACTCCTAGGGTAAATTGAAAATGTTAAAAATAAATAGAACATGTAAATCCTTATATGATCCATGTCACCTATGTTTACAAGAAAAATTCCATATTACCAAGTTTCCCAATAATAAAAACCTGTTAAATCAAAGAAATGAATTAATGGTACTATGCCGCCCATTGTCTGCCCTTCACTTTAAAATATAGTTAAAAAATTTTTAATAATCATGTATTATAATTGTATTACCATTATTTTATGCCCCCAAAATTTATTTGAATTATTCAACTATAATATTGCCATGTTTTACCATATATTTAGTATAATTAACCAGTTATATAAATGTTTCCATATTTTTCATTTTATCCAAAGGCCCCTTTAAGAAGCTTCCTGAGTATTTTTAAAAAAGAAATTTTTAAATAATTTTTTAAAAAAATCCGTTTCTGATAAATTTATGTCTACTTCAACAAATTGTCAAATCATACTTGGATACACCAATATTACATTTGTCATGGTAATTGTTCCCTAGCATCATTAAATGACATGCCTAAGCATCAGTCTTCATGACATGTAATAATGGTGTGTGTGTGTATATATATATATATATATATATATATATGCACACACACACACATATATATATATATATATATATATATATATATATATATATATATATATATAGATAGATAGATAGATAGATAGATAAATTTTAATAATATTTCTATTAGAAAATATTTTACATTGCTACACAAAAATTTCTATATTTTGGAACTTTAAAACAGAAATTTTTGTGTGAGCAATGTAAAATATTTTATAATGAAAATATTATAATAATATTTTGCTCTACACTGTATTGAGCACTTTTTTAAAAAGTAAATGCTAAGAATGGTGGATTCTTAATCTGTCTGTTCTTTCTCTTTGTTTGTATATATATATATATATATATAAAGAACCAACAAGGTCTGTTAGACCTTGTCAGTTCATTTTAATCAAACTTGATGAATACTTGTGGCCCAGTCATATATATGTGTGTATATATATATATATATATATATTGGTTGCTCCTCTTTTTTTTGTGTATGTGGCTTTTTAACAGCTCTAAATTTTTACAAGACAGCTATTTTGAATATTATTAAACATTTTACAATGATAAAATTAAATTTAAATTTATACTCTAAGCACTTATTAGACATGCTAAAGAAAAAGATGTATAAAAACAAAACTGTTTAGATATGAACAAAATATAAAATGAAGTGTCATACAATCCAGTTGTAAATATTTATTTTTGAGAATTTTGATTGTTATAATGGAACTTCAAAACAAAAGATGGAATTGTTATTCTTTTCTTAAAGGAGATTCGTTATTTTCTTTTTTAAGTTGGCACAACTATTTTTTGTTGAATGGTAGATATTTTCTTTTGCTTTTTATATTTTGTGTATAAATATATAACCTTAGTTGGATAAGTAAGTTTAAGTAATAATTTTACTTTTATACTAAAATTCTTTGCCTGAATCTAGGGCAAAGAAGATAGATTTTCTTTTCTTTTCTTTTCACTTTTGCTCTTTTGTTGGGAAATTATTTCCTTATTTACTGATAATTGAGTTTTTTGACATTCTACTGTAATTATTCTTTTAAAATAATTACTTCAATAGCATTTTCTCTTACTTTAAAATATCACACTTTCTTTATGGTAGGTCAGTTTCAAGGAAACATTTTAAAATTGGTTATGTTATAAGCTAATTTGCAGTTATTTTAGATTCTGTCTCAGTTTTTATGTTTTGTATTTGTTTATTATCATTTCAACACTTTATACATGTAATGGTTGATTTTGAAACCTTAGCTAAGAGTAGAGCAAATAATTTTCTTCAGTTGTACAAATGTCATTTACAAAGTCTTACAAGGAAAAACTAAAACACTGTCATAAAAGGTTGAAATTGGTGGCTCAAGAACTGAAATTTAAAAACATTTCTTATAACTGTCTTATTAAAATTCATTCATTTTTATTTGTTTGTTTAGTGAAAATTATTTATTTATTTACTCATCCAATCATTTATAGTTTTTATTTTTTTAAATATCAGTTGCTTGGACATCCAAAGATGATGATAATCTTAAAATTACTCAAACTGGAGAATCAAAAGAAAAATCAACAAAACAACTTTATTATACAACACCACCGAGGGTTGTAAGTACTGCACTTTTATTTATTAATTTCAATTTTCAGTTATTATTATAACTGCAAACAAATCCATGTGAGAAATGGCTTCTGAAATAGGGGTATCAGATTTATGCCAAAAACATCTGAGAATAATTTCACATGCAACTTTCTTAAAATTGACTAGAAACATGTGGGCAGATGCCAAATTAAAGTAGACACTTGCATCAGATATTTTCTTTTGCATGTTAGGAATCTGTGTGTGTGTGACAGAGAGAGAGAGAGAGAGAGAGAGAGAGAGAGAGAGACTGCAGATATCTTTGTCAATTTCAGTCTTTTTTTATTTACATTTGGACTAATGTCCTCATCTTTGTTTTTATTATCACATTTTTTGCTGTTGTGATCTCTGGTCTTTTTTGACGGTGCCTGTCAATTTCCTAACCTTCAGGGAATTTCACTTTTTATTTTAGTTTTTTTTTTACACTGTTACTTTTGCTTCCATCATAACTGATTGGAATACAACTAATACTTTCAGCAGTTTGAACCTGAAAAATAGGCTGGAGTCTTTCAGTTGGCAATATCCTTGCCTATGGCAGTAGTGATATATATATATATGTAATATATATATATATATATATATATAATCTTTACCTGACACCATTCCTTGGAAGCAACCGAAACATAAAACAGTAACATTTCTCATCTTCCTAATGCCAGTCTTCCTCTCTTTTTCTTCCTTTGTTCATTTATAAATATAATCTTTTCCTTCCTGCTACAGATAAATAGTAGGGACACTGGACATTTTAGCCTTGGTTTCTGATTCCAAATCAAACAACAGCCACCAACATGTTATGTGCCAGCATGGCAGATTAAGACCCAACACTCTTCATATCTGGCAGATTTTGGAAAAGGTTTATATAAAACAATGGACAGTGTAGGATAACAAAAGTGATAAAAACACAAAGAAAAATTTAAGTTAGATTAGGTAGACTTTATATATAAAAAATATTAAGATTAAAATGGATTCGTACCTTTTGCAAGGGCATTAGTATGAAATAAACACCAATTTTGCTAGAGTTTGAACTCTGTTTACCAAATCCATTTCCTGCACTGTTAACTTTTATAAATATATATACTGGGAGTAACACCAGAATTGTCCTAATTGTGTTACAGCATGGGATTATTCCTACAAAATGTTTAATATTTAAAAAATAAAAGAAAAACTAATTGAGTGTCTTTTTCCAGATTTTCAGATAAGAGATTTAGCCATCTTAACACCTATTTGTTGTAAAAATCATTGAAAAACCCTTTGAGTTAATCAGATAGAAATAAAACAGGTTAAAATCATTTTGTGTCAGATCCACTGTCTTCTCAACTGAGCAATGGTGAGAGGAAAAATCATTCAGGCCTTCAGTAATGGTACCAGTATTCATACTCTAACTTCTATCTTCAAAGTCCATTCGAGAACCATCAAGAGAATGGCAAATAAGTTTAAAAAAGATAACAGTAGAGAGGAAAACTGGATCAGGGGAGGTCACAACAGCAAGAAGGATCATCATTTCAACTAAGATAAAGAGATAAAGAGATCAAGTAGAAAAGATCCAACTCAATCCATTAGACGTTTGATGAAATCACCAATATGGAATACATCCTCATCACTCCAAAGGATGTTTCCAAACAATTCTGGCCAATCTTCAGGCCAACCTAGCATTAACTCTCCATATTATATTCTGCAGTTACGGTCTTCAGGTTTTCCTGCATGTAAATAAAAAATCCCTATTAATGATGTCTGTTTAAAAAAATGTTTTCATCATGACTTCAGTGATACTAAAAATTCTATAAGCAATTTCTAATGCCTAGTTAATTTCCACCCACCCTGGATATACAGGGGTGGGGGGACAAATTAAAATAAAAAACTAAAAAAAGACTTAACTCTTAACTTTGTTTTTCAGAAATTAATCTGCTCATCAGAGATTAGATAAAGTAATTGAATTTATGTAACCCTAGAATTATGGAAGATGTTAAGTGATGTAATTTAATGTCAAATAAACAAAAGTGAGTAAATGTTGTTAAATCTTTATAATTTAATTAATAAATAAATGTGTTGGATAAAAAAATTTTTTTTCCTTTTGCCTTTATTCACACATATATATATATATATATATATATATATATATATATATATATATATATATATATATATGGAAGCAACCTTTCTTTTAAACATCTTTCATTAAATATGGCAGACAAGGAAGATTTAATAATAATTAATTTTTTATTTAGTTTTTTGCCATTTTGTAGGAGTAAGAGAGTACAGAAATTTTCCATAATTTTCATTGTCCCAAGGGTTTTTGGTCATTTTAACCATTCAAAACAACACAAAAAATAAAATACAGTGAAAACATGAAGAAAACTAACAGTACCAAAAATAAAAAAACCTAAAGAAGAGGCTGAAAGTGTTTGTGACAATAAAAGTTATGGACGATTTCTGAACTCCCTTTACTCCTATAAAATGGAAAAATGTAAGGATGCTGAAAAAACTAAATAAAAAATGAATTAAATCTTCCTTGCTTGCCATAATTAATGAAAGATGTTTGTATGTGTGTAAAACTATACATTATACAGAGTACACGTAGTATGGATATATATCTAAATTTGTGGAGAGGGTCTGTAATGCAAGCCAGCATAAGTGTATATAAGATATTTATATTTTACTCTGAATCTCTCAGTTTATTTTAGATTATTTAAATAATTTCTTCAGTCCACTTCCAATATGAATATAGAATAATAAAAAAGCCAGTTTATACTTATTTTTCTGTTTATACACAAAAGTAATGTTAAATTTATACAATGTGTTATAAATATAGTTATGAGATATATTTCATTTTTTTTTATATGCTTATAATAATATTTCCTTAACATATATTATCAGAGGTGATCTTCAACTATCTCCAAATCAGCTATTCTAATCTAATGCATGTAATTTAACAGTGATTTTATCTTTGCAACTTTTCTGATTGGGTTGTGTAACTGTGCATGTAGAATTTAGATGAATTACAAGTTTAATTGTTAACATCCCATGTTAAAGTATTTTCTTAATGATTCTAAATTGTTTGGGTTTGATAGTTAGTGCAACCCACAACATACTTGAAATATTATTTTTCAACTCAGTCTAAAAGGCTTTGGAAATAACTTCCTGAAAACAATTATCATTTTTACCAAACTTCCCACTTGAAATAAGGATTTTTATAAAAGGTCAAACAGTCTACATTGGTGAGAAAATATTCTGTTTTCAAACAACAATCAGTAAAACCATAATTTGATGAAATTGGCAACTACTATAAATTCCTTAAGATGTTCAATTACTTTGAAATTCTTTCATATAGATCTAAACAAATAAAGATAACTTATGCAACCAAGCTACAAATCATGAAAAGTTTGAATATCTTCAAATTGATGTACTACTATTTTCACTTAAATGACCCAAAGCTATAGACTATAATTCGATTATTGTTTATACATCATGTTCTATTCTTTTTTTTTTTTACACACCTAAATTTACAATTATTATTATCTGCTCTTAAACACCCCATCCTAATTTCCTTTTTGGCTTTATTTTGACCTATAAATGACTGACGCAAGACTAAGACAAGTTTTCCGATGAAGAAGGAATTTAGTTGTGCCTATCCTCAAGTGGACTTTCATTTCATGGAAACTATACTGTGACTATCAATATGGTTTCTTGGGATGTGGACCCTTTTTATGGAAGGAGACCAAATAAATTTTACTCAAGAATCTTCAAAACTCTGCTGGCTTCCATACATTTAAACTGGAATCAATCTAAGCCAGAAGATAGAGTAATAGGTTTGGTTATACATCACTTGACTGAAACTAACATGAAGGTTGGTAAATTCTTTTCAGATTTGAATCCACTATTATGACTTTGCTCATTTTTTAAAAAGTCAATGAAAAGCAATGACATCAAATATAAAGAAAATGCTGATGTTAGTCTTTCTAACTTACAATCATTTGAAATTTTCTTTTTTTCTTCTAAGCAAGTAATCTTACAAATATTTTTCATTATATAATACAGATGAAAATTCTTTATCTGGCAAAACTTGTAATTTTACCTGTCCTTTTTGTTCAAGAAAAACATTTAATTAATGTTGAGCATTTCTCAAAATGTTGCTCTCATTTCAAGTAGAAAAAAAATGTTAAAGGAATATTTTGGTATTTAGTAATAAATAATTGAAACATATCATCATCAACATCCTTCATAGTCATCTTTGACTATGGTTTCTGTTTTGAGGATGGTACTGCAACTACAGTGAGTCTAGAGGTCAATGTAATAGATAAGAAGCTAGAAATTCATATATGTATCTTTGAAAAATGTTAGCTATTATAAACATTCAAAACTTTGATATTTTAATTGAATGTTTATAGTAATTTTCTTAAAAAATTAGCTTTCTTCTTTGCATTCAAACTTTCAAATAATTTAATTTCATAAAGCATTAAATTAAACATCTTTAAATCTAGTGATCTCAATTACAATCATTTAATTAAATATTTGTATCATACTGAAATATTTTTGCAGGCATACAAAATTTTATTTCCACAATAACAACAAACATTAAAAGAAGATTCATAACAAAAAAAGCAGTGTAGCAAAAAATATATATTACCATAAATTGGTAATATCAAAATGTAACAATCATTATATTTCATTATATTTCAATATTATTAATTTACAGTAATATTTATTTTTTCTTTCTCCTCTTTTTTGTTATGAATGTTCTTCTAATATGTTTGTTTTTATTGCTGTAGTATTTTCTAGTATTTTCATGATTTGGCAATATGCTAATAATTAGAATATTGGTAATTATCTTTTATTTTTTAATTCTTTGACTTTAAAATGTAAATTGTTTTATAGCTTATAACTTATTTCAAATAATATTTGATTTACAAATTTTATATATTTGACCTGCCATCTTTTCTTGAGATATAAAATGATACAATTTTACTCAAGAAATGGCATAAAAAATATATATATTCTTGTTTTTACCATGTGTAATATATGTGACTGCATTGATAACTGACATGTGTTCTTTTGATCAAAACATCTATGCTAATAAGAATAAAAACTATTTTAAATTTCCTAATTAACAATATATGACTACATCAAAATAAGCCCATACTATATAATTACTATAAGTTCTACTTATACTAATTGTTTTATTGTATAGCATAATTAGTCAGATACTTCCAGATTATTCTTTTAAAGAAGACCATTTTCTTGAAGGGGTGAGTTTTCAAACATTAGCTGAAAAGTTTTATAATATTTACCAAGTGTAATTTAAATTCTGGACAATGTCATGTAGCTAATAATTTTCCATAAGGTATAAAGAAGTTATATTCAATTTATATGACAAATCCTTGATTTACAAAACTGGAGTAAAACAATCAGTTTATGTTGTTATTTTTGCATAAACAAACATAAATGATAAAAGCAACTTGACAGTGTTTTTTTTTTATTTAAAAGAATTTAAAAGAATTAATTTTAAAAGAATTAATTTAAAAGAATTTAAAAGAATTAATTTTAAAAGAATTAATTTAAAAGAATTTAAAAGAATTAATTTTAAAAGAATTAATTTAAAAGAATTTAAAAGAATTAATTTTAAAAGAATTAATTCTAGAATATTTTTCACACATTCTTCTTTTCATGCATTTCTTCTGCAATTTATTTTGAAGATGAACTTTACATTTCAGTTCAATGCATAAAATGTTAAATATTTTTATTTTTTAATGTTTAAATCTTTGTGAAAGCATTATACGCTGCATTTGCAATTTCTTTTCTTTATTTTCTTCTGTGAGAAAAAACATGAAAGGTTGATAAAGTATAACTTTTATTTAGTATATACTAGTTGGAAAGCATTGCCATGTTTCTAATTTTAATGTTTACTCTTTTATATTCCAACTTTATTCTATGTTTATATTGATAAATCTATTTATTAGTGTGTGTAAACACACACACATATATATATATTATATGATGTAAGCTCAGAAATGTCAACTATATTAAAATAAATCTTTATTTTATAGCTGATATTCATTTTTTACAAAAATAATATTGGGCAAACCACATCTTATAATATTTTTAGTTAAAATTAATAATTCACAACTTGAAAATTACATCTTTGATGTAAAACAGCATTTTGGAATCCAAAATTGCTTAGTATTCTTCAGAATGTTGTTGAAACAGGTTTTGGAAAAGTTGAATGAAGCTGAAAATGTGTACATCAGCATATGCCCAAGTGACAACTTGTTCAACCTAAGATAGCTACAGGCACACACCCACACTACACTTCAGCTAGTTAGGGAACATCTGTTCCCAAACAAAACACTTCTAGTCTCCCACTCAGAAAAAAGTAACATACTGCTTTGCAATGACTACCAAACTCTTTGACATAGAAATCACTCTAAAGAAAACAGACATTCTTCTCTAACTTCTACCTCATGATATGTACCACTTATCATCCATATCATTTTGTATGAAAAAGTTGAATGTGATTCCAGATATTACCTCCATGTGATACCCACTGAAGCTACACACAACAAAAAGGTTGAAAACAGACTGGCACAAGTAAACCAAGCCTTTAGAAGATTTTTTCGCACATGTGTCTGGATGAACAAATTAATATTGTTATTGTTATTGTGTCTATATTGTTTACACTCTCATGATATTGTATCTTACTCTGTTTAGCAGTACTGCCATTGCTCCCATGAATACATAGCACTAGCACTAGCACTAGCACTGATGCTATAATGTTCTCAAAGTGCTTTGGAGTGACTCCACCACAAAATATAGATTTCTGAAAACTACGAAAATGTCCAGCATTGAGCATTCCTACAAAAACACAGATGTGCTATGTTGGTTATGTGTCAAAAATGGAAGACAATAAGTTCTAAAATTCAGTGTGCTGGTCTCTAGACATAGCAATAGAGTAATATTCCCCCACCACAAAAGATACACAGATTCCCTAAAAAGACCACTTGTTTCTGCAGTATCAATGACCACAAAAGGATAACAAGTGGTCCTGACAGGTCTTCTAGGCACCACATAATTAATCACCCTCACAGACTCAATCTGTAGATTTAGGGCGGAAGAGAGGAGGTAATGTAATAAACTTGGTGCCTCTTTCAGTCATCAACTCTTGTACCCATGACAGAAAAACCTGTCTGTCTCACATGAATCTTGCTAATCACAGATGAACCTGCAGCAGATGTGGAGCCCCTTTCCTAACCTATAATTTGCATGATGATGATGATGATTATAGCACATAAGTATTAGTAGAAATCAATTCTCAGAAAATAGCTTTTATTAATATCTGTAAAAAATTTGGAAAATATATAGAATATATTTATAATTAAATTAGAAATATTAGTTTTTATAATTCAAAGAATAAACTGAAAAATATTTTTTCTAATTATGTAGTAACTGATTAGCATAATTACAAAGAAATATACGAATAAAAATGAATCCAAATATTTGTCAGCTTAAGTTTGATGCTTGATTGAATGTTTTATTTAATGAATATTAAGAGAGAAATGAGAAAGCAATAAAAATAGAGAAGGAATTATGGGAAGAAAATTTTGATCTATGAACACTTAACCATTTTTCAGATTGCTATGCCTAACAGTTTTGTCATGGATTTATCATCTTTTTCATAAGGTTTTTTGATGGAATTCTAGCAGTCTTTGAAAAAAGCAAACAATATTATATTCTTTGCAGTAATATATTTTCAATGACTTATTTTTAATTACAGAACATGGTACCAAGCCTGGATGGGGAAAAAAGGTAAGTTATCTGCTGTAGATGTTTTTTTTGTCCATAAATGAACAGTATTTACATGTTTTTATAATATTACAACCAACCATCTCAAAAGTGTTTTCTTTTTTAAGACAAATAAAAGAAAGTTGTATATTCACTTCTGGAAGTGTCTTCTCACGAAAATTGACTTTCCTAGACACTATAGCTGGTGACTCAGGGTTGGATACTGCGGATCTGGGAACAATAATACAGGACTGAACGATGTGGAAAGGGATTGTCAATGGAGTTCCAACCAACCATAGAGAGGTTGAAGGATGATGATGATAAAGTAATTGCCTTTTTCAAAGCTAAATTATGATTTTATGCATCTATAAGCCACAAGTAAAATATTCATTTAAGAATATTTAATTATTATTATAGCAACACCAGTTGTAGAATAGAGTTATAGAATAATACATTATATATTGCAGTTTGGAAGAATCCATAATGCTATACTTTTTTAGAAGCAAGAAAAGAAATGATGAAGGAATGACAAGAAATTAAATATCACACTTAAATACTAAATTGTATTTTGATTGATTCATAAAACTGCATAACACATTTACCTCCAAAGCAGAGTTCAAACCTTCACATGTGAAACTAAGATATATAACATATGGTTGAATGAAATATATATATCTGTTGAGAACTGAAATAATTAATAATTCCTTAATGAACATGCATAAATCCTATAATGTCTAACAGAAAAATTTTCAATGTGCACTTCCTGCTTTCATCAAAAATAGGCAGTCAGACAATTTCCAGTGAAGAAAATATTTGCTTTTAGAATATGCAGTAAAATACTTATTCTTTGTTTTTTGTTTTTAATATATATTTTCTTTGTTTTGATTGAAAAAAAGATCTTCCGTTATCAAAGCAGCCGAGGAGCATATTATTATCCAAATGGGATTCAGAAAAGGCTTCTCAGAATAATTTTATAATCAACTTATTTTGTTTTAATATTATGCAATTATTACACACAGGACTGGTGCAAGGGTCCCATGCCACCCTCCAATTTTTGATACACCTCTTCCAATCTATGATACATGGGGAGGGGCACTCTACTACATCTCAATTTTCATAAAGTGATATTCATATAAAATACAAATTTTATTGTAACCTAATTATGTACAATAATGGATCATATGCAATATAGGGGAACATTTCAACTAGAAAAATTCAAAATAAATACAATGTATCTAAATATAAATTAGAGGCATGTCACAATAAATAAATCTGCAGCAATTTTTGACATCAATTTGAGGTTTTTCTTGTTAAAATTTTGAATAATTTTAACACAGTCAACATTATGAATAAAACATTTTATACTTTTTTTTTAGATTTAGTATGGGCAAAACAAATTCAGTACATACTGGCCTTGCTTATACAAATGGATACCTGAGTTAGTCCTGTATACATGAATTACTTGATAAGATTTGAATCATTTTATTATTTAATATGGAATAGTGATGTGGAATAGTAATATGAATAGTGATTTTTTCACAATATTATTTAATATAAAACTAATTATGACATGATTAAAGCATTCAAAATATTTTCTTTACTTAAGAAATTTTGTTGTCCTTTATTAAAAAAGAAATATATGTACATATAGTGAACAGTAGTTAGTGATATCATTTGGAAGAAATTCCACAAGAGAAATTAATTATAAAGTTGTATTGTTATTTCTGCTGTTTCTTTGCACACGCAAATGATTTGCACAGAAATCATCATTTAATGACTGCTTAATGTTGATTTTACTTGACCTGCTTATTTGATTGATAAATATAGATTCAATTTCATAACTGATTGTTCCACTTAATTATACTCTACTTTCATAAAGATTCCTTTGCTAATAAGCATGAACTGTATGAACATAATTTTATTTATAATGATCTAATGATGTTAAAATATTCAATCAAAATGGAGATTGTTATTGCTTTCACAAGCAAAGCTGAAAATATATTTGCTGTTATTTTTTCCTTGAACAGATATCATAGTAACTTGGGTTGGTGAATATGGATGATATTTTTTTATAAAAAACAAACATCAAACTATTTTTTTAAGGTTGCATAAGATATTTAAGTAAGTTTTGAATCATATTCTTTAATTTTAAATTTCATTCTGTTATTTTGGGGTTTCACTTTTGGTTTGTATACATATTATTATTGTGTATAATGTTTATGTCTTAATTCTATCATTCTCTCATCATATTCCTATTTCTTTGATTTATGTCTGTGCATTATTATTATTACTGACTGTCATGTTAAGTTGTCAATGTAACTTTTAAAATATTGTAATTGTAAAATAATTTTGAGAAAAAAATTGAGCTATTTTTTAAAGGTCAGTGAAAAGAATTCAGTTTTTCCTTTTAAATATAATTTATTGTTAATAAATCTTCAAACCAAGTTAAAAAATGTTTTACAAAGATCTTATTAAGTTGGCAGTTTTTTTAAAAAATATCAATGAAATTCTTAACATTTATTATGTAGATAAAATATTTATGTCAGCTTCAAAATGCTGACAAATTTTAGAATATCATAAACATAAGTGATATTTCAGTTTTATTTTCATTCACACTACTAAAACCAATGTTTCTAGGATGATTTTGTACCCATGAAAAACACTGCTAAATAAATTATGGTTAATAAATGTCATGTTTCTATTGATGTCTAAAACACATGGAACTGCTGACTGAACAATTCAGTAATTAATCTGAGCTATTCATTTAATCATGTCTTTCCTGACAACTTTAAGTTTACTATATATATATATATATATATATATATATATATATATATATATATAATATATATATATATATATATATATAGATATAGATATATATATATATATATATATATATATATATATATATCAGTCTTTTACAATTCAGTATTGTGTGTAAAATAATTTTATAATTAGACGGGTACCAAACTTTCCAGTATTTTCTTAACAAAATATTTTATCTATATAAATCTATTGTATCATTTAGTTATCAGCATATTTTTCCTGGCTTTATTTCAATCTCTTGAACTTGTTAGAACCAGACAAAGATTGTGGCACAATGTAAAAAAAGCAAGATTCTTAAGGTGACAAGCCTGAAAAATATACTGTCTATGGTAAAATTCCCATCCTTTCTCGTGGTTGTTTATTTCATGATATGTCAAACGAGAGGATGGGCATTGTCCTGCAATAAAGTTGATTTCTTTGCACAGACAAAAATATGGAAGAACATATTAGCCAAAATGTTATGATAAGATCAACAAAGAAGATGATAGTTATAAGTATAAATAATTCATGAAAGCAGTCTGTGAATTTATCTACATTGACTTGTGTGTCACCATTCACTGTCTTATCAATTGCTTTATTTTAACCAGGTTTTCAATGGAACATCTATTTGACATATATTAGCTTGATACTTAAATCTAGAATTTTTTACACACTTAACAATTTGTTCAATTCTATAAAAACATCCTAATATTTTTATAGAAACTTTCCATTAGTTTACTGAATGTTTTTGTTGCTGTTAGTCATGAACTTAATGTATTCTTTACTGAAGAATTGTTGGTGTATCTTTAATTACTTCTAAAGATACTTACTTGGTGATTTTTACTGTACAAAGACATGTTATAGTGTCAACTGAGTGGGGTTCATTTATTATTTTATTTAATTTTTGCTCTGGAACATTTGCTGTGAAAGAAAACTTATATTAAGAAATTTGACTAATGCCAGTATTTGTACTTTGGTGAAGAATTGTTTGACTCCAGTTTGTTATACATGTACATGATTTCATCAGAGTGCTTCAGTAGACTTTATTTGTTCAAATTGGATGTTATTTATTTAATGGCTTGTCTTATTTCTGTGATATGATTGTTTCTTGCTTATATGCCTGATGATTTGGTTTTGTATTTTGTTTTTACATTTACTGTTGGTGTTACCAAAAGTGAAATAGTTTATTTTGGCATATTGCCCAATGCAATACTTACAAATGAATTCAAATTGCTTTTATTTACTAATTCTGTTTTTGTATGAACCAATAAAAAATTTGTTTTTTTTTTTCTTTTTGTCTACAAACTGAGTGTGTAACTCTTATAAATGTTTTATTCACTTGACATATGAAGCACTTTTCCTAATGCTTCTCATATATTTTAAATTTTACTTCAGTCAACATCTTACATGTGCAAATGTTTTAATGTGTAAGAACCATTCTTTTCAGCTTTTGTAACAAACACACAAAAATCATATCAACATTATTTTAGTGAAGAGGAATGAAGACTCCACACTTTTATTATTATGTTGCAATTTGGACTGGAAATTCCTTTATTCTTTAAGTTAGAGCAATAACAGTAGCAACACTTGTGCTAAATGCCACTGCTGTTTTGCAGTGTTGCAACAATAAACATATCTCCAAACAGAAATCAAATCATTATAATAGAGGTAAATAGCATTTATTATTACTGCTATTTATAGATTTTATGAACTAAAACAAAATATGACTCATTTGACTAGTTCTAATGTTAATTCCTAAAACCATATCAAAATCTTTAATGTTGAAATTAAGGTTTTTAAACATAGAATCCATTTAACATCAAGAAATCTTTCTCTTGTAAAGAACATGACTTTTGAGATATATTTAAAAAAAATAAATTTTAAAACCTGTTCTCTGCATTAAATAAGCTTGTAGAATTAGGGATTCAACTACTGAAATGTAAAAATTTTTTAAAGATTTTTGACATATGCATATTTGTTGTAAATACTAATAAATTTCTTTATTTCATATAACATTTAAAACTATATTTTTTTCCTTAATGAAAATTGTAAAAGAAAATAATTTGCTAAATCAAGGTTTGAAACAATAATAAAATAATTTAAAATATCAGTTTTTGAATAGAAGCTCCATAAAAGTAATCAAACTGAGAAATAGTCAGCAAATATTTTATGAAAGAACAATCCCAAAATGTCTGAAAGTTTAATTCTTAAAAATA